AGGAAGGAAGGAAGGAAGGAAGGAAGGAAGGAAGGAAGGAAGGAAGGAAGGAAGGAAGAAAGGAAAAAAGAAAAAAATTTTATTCAGCAAAGACACCTTCCTATAGAAAAGATAAAATTTAATTTAAATAAATGTTGTGCACATGGAGTAGAAGTCTAGTGGTGTTCTAAAGAATTCTTTACATCCCCTAGACACCAGCTCCACTACAAACACTTCCAGCTTCTTCCTTGGGGACCCAGCTGACTTTGAGTACCTCCCACCCCTAAATCTAACAGTGCTATTCAAATATCACAATGCCTAATGTTACTCAGAATCAAACATAAGAAACTTGTAAGTCAGATTCCTCCTCCACTGCCCATTGATAAATTGAACAAGTCATCTCAGACGCAAAATGATTTTTCATTAATGAAACATTTGTTCATTGTATATGTCAAAATCATTAAGAACTTACTCCATGCCACCAGCAGACACAGGAGTACATAGAAAAATACTACATACCTCAAGCTTCAGAGAACTCACAATTGTACCAGTCTTTTTCTTTGGGGCCACCAGCCAGCTCCCAAATCATGACATGGAGATTTATTGTTTTTGTTTGTTTTTACTCTTTTGGGGGGACCCCACCACCACCCAGCTCCCAAATAAATCACACACAGAGACTTAGTCTTACTTACCAATGCCTGGCCTTTGCTTGACTTATTTTCTAGCCAGCTGTCCTTAAATTATCCCATCTACCTCTGGGCTTTTCCCATTCTCATACGTCTGTAAATCTTACTCTTACTCCGTAGCTTGCTGCGTAGCTGGGTGGCTGGCCCTTGGAGTCCTCCTCCTTCTCTGGCTACATCTCTCCTCACTCCTCCATCTCTTTTCTTCTCCTCCTCCCAGGCTTCTCCTTCTAGTTATCCTCTCTGCCTGCCAGCCCCGCCTATCCTTTCTCCTGCCTTGCTGTTGGCCATTCAGCTCTTTATTAGACCAGACAGTTGTTTCAGACAGACAAAGTAACACAGCTTCACAGAGTTAAACAAATGCAACATAAACAAAAGTAACACACCTTAAAATAATATTCTAAAACAACTTATTAGTTTTGGATGCTCTCAAGCTCATTTCTGGCTAGCTCTTTTAAATTAACCTGTTTCTCTTGATCTACCTTTTGCCTCAGGGCTTTTTGACTTTTCTTTCCTTCTGTTTGTCTTACTTTAACTGCCTCTCGAGTCTTGCTGGCTGGCGGCTGCTTGGCTTCGTGCCCTGGACATGTCCCTCTCTTTCTCCCTCATTCTCCTCTTCTCTCATTCTCCATAAGCCTAGATTTCTCCTCCTACTTATTCTCTCTGTCTGGCAGCCTCTCCTGCCTAGCTATTGGCTGTTCAGCTTTTTATTAAACCAATCAGGCAAGGTGAAACAAATGCAACACATCTTTACGTGATTAAACAGATACAGCATAAACAAGTGTGATAGGTCTTTACATAGTTAAAGTAATATTCCACAGCACACATCTCAGATATAGACAAGTACACTGGACATCTTCCATGCCATGAACTGTGACACATAAGGGCAGGGTCGCCAACTCTGTCCAGAGTTTGGGAGTGTGGCTCTTTCCAAACCATGATTCCCAAAAGAAGTGACTCTTGAACCTAGGCTTAAAGAAGAGAAGGAATTGGCCAGTTAAAAGTGATAAAGAGTACAAAGATGGTCTGGGCAGGGAGCACAGTGTTACAGGAGTAAAGGCAATACATGCATGCATACATACATACATACATACATGCATACATACATACAGCTCGAAGGAAGTTCAAGCTCTCTTTTGTGGCTATAGTTTAAGGAAGCAGGTGGGAATGAGCTGATGCAGGAGGTGCAGAAAGCAGTCCCAGCCAGGCCCCAGAAGCCCGTGTGGACTATATGAAGGACACGGTCTTCTAGGCACTGGGGGACCCGTGCAGGGTTTGGAGTGGGAGGGAGATGGAGTACAAGTGCATTTAGAGCAATCATCTAGTGCCAATACAAGAATAGGTTTGAGGGAGCTTGGAAGCTTCCTGCTGTGGTATGAGGGTACCCGCAAGGTTCTATGTTGTGAGGTATCAGAATGAATATTTATTATAGCTGGTATTTACAGGTGGCGTCTTTGGGGAGTGGTTAGGATCGGATCCTATCCTGGTGACTATGAAAGAAGGGAGGGAGACCAGAAGAAAGGTGCACATGCATTCCTGTCTTTGACTACACAATGCCTTGTGTCACCTCAGGACCCCACCTGATGAAGCCCTTAAACCAGATGTTCTCAACCTTCCTAAGGCTGCGACAAGTCCATTAGTACAATTCCTCGTGTTGTGGTGACCCCCAAACCATAAAATGATTCTGTGGCTACTTCATAACTGTAATTTCGCTACTGTTACAGATTGCAGTATAAGTATCTGTGTTTTCAATGGTCTTAGGTGACCCCTGGCAAAGGGGGTCATTTGACCCCCAAAGGGGTTGCGACCCACAGGTTGAGAACTGCTGCTGCCTTAGCCCTCACACTGCAGAACCATGAGCCGAAAGACCCAGTCTATGGCTCTTTGTCATTAGCAATAAACACAAAGATGAACTACTCTGCCACTTTAGAACTAGCCAGGAAGTCCAAATCAGGAGCAACAGGCTTGTAGACACAGCCTCGATCCCCTCTGCCAGCTAGGCCACATGTCCCAGTGGATTCCCCAACCTCCCCAAAACAGTGCTGTCAAGTTCAAGACCTTGTGTGACACATTTAACATTCAAATCATAGCACTGTGGAGCCCCCAAGCACAAGTTTCTCCTGGGTAGATAAAGCCAAGGTGGAGGTAAATTTGAAAGTGATGAGTACATGTTAGTCAGCTTTTCATTATTATAAAAATGAATATCAACTTTTAAAATGGGAAAGTTTATTTGGTTCACAGGATGGTTTGAATGAGAACAGCCCCCATAGGCTCATATGTTTGAATACTTGGTTCCCAGTTGGCGGAACTGTTTGGGAAGGATTAGGAGGTGTGGCCCTGTTGGAAGAGGCGTGTCACTGGGCTTTGAGGACATAAAATGTGCCTCTTTCTGCCTCCTGTCTGTGGATCAAGATGAGAGCTCTCAGCTGTTGGTGCTGTCATGCCTTTGCTCCGCTGTCACAGACTCTAAGCCAGGGGTTCTCAACTGGCGGGTGGCAACCCCTTTGGGGGTCAAATGACCCTTTCATAGGGGTCGCATATCAGATATCCTGCTTATCAGATACTCACATTACAATGCATCATGGTATCAAAATTACAGTCATAAACCAGCAAGGAAACAATTTTATCGTTGGGGGTCACCACAACACGAGGACCTGTATGAAAGGGTCACCGTATTAGGAAGGTTGAGAACCACTGCTCTCAACCTTCGACACCATAAGCCCAGTTAAACACTTTAAGTTGCCTAGGCCATGGTGTTTTGTCACAGCAATAGCGAAGTTACTCCGGCAGGAGG